TAATATTGGCTGCCCTTTCCTGACAAACAAAACCTACTGCCAAAGGCCCAAAAAACGTGATTAGATGTTGAAATCAAGGTAGAGTTCCAGAGATGTTGAAAGAAAGCCCATATTTACATCCTAGGTATAAACTCTTAGAGATGTGGGAAGCTATGACAATCAGCCATGGAAAGAATTCCCTCTTTCTAATGAATTTATCTTCATGTGTATTTATGTATTCATGCCAGAAAAACCTACTGCCAAAGGCCCAAAAAACGTGATTAGATGTTGAAATCAAGGTAGAGTTCCAGAGATGTTGAAAGAAAGCCCATATTTACATCCTAGGTATAAACTCTTAGAGATGTGGGAAGCTATGACAATCAGCCATGGAAAGAATTCCCTCTTTCTAATGAATTTATCTTCATGTGTATTTATGTATTCATGCCAGAATACTGCAACATATAGAAAGATGGGATTCATATTTTTTTAAATACTAAAAACATCAAATAAGGATTCATATAAAATACAACAATAGAGGATAAATCTAAATCAATTGCATTATCTTTTCCTCCCAAGAGGTGCTGACACTGTCGAAAAGGTTGATGGCTGGGTGGGAGATGGTACGCCGTTGTGATCCTGAGACCAGATGCTGGGTAGATCTACTCATTTTTGCGCCAAGATTTATGGCCATTCTTTGGGATCTTGACTCCATTTGTACAATAAGTCAAGTTAAGGTTGATGTTGTTTCAGTGCCTTGGTGGGTCTCTTCCAATTGTCTTGAGTCACTGTGGCCAGCAGTCATATATGTTTCTGGAAGCCTTGGCTTCCCTGTCTGGTCATTCTGTGCACTGGCAGCTGATGACCAGAGCCAGGGATTGGGGCACATGCCAAGGTTCTGAGGTGAGTCATTCCTGATTGCATTACGGAGTAAACTTGGCAGCCTTCAGCTGAACTGCTTTTTAGCAACAAGGCACTGAATTCTAATGGTGCTCTAGCCTTCCTTTTTGAAAATGAGGGTTCATATTCCCTCAGAAACCTTATGAGGTACATTAGGGTTAGTGCATGTGATTTAATGTGTATCAAGGTCACTCCATGAGTTTCAGTTTTGAAGAGAAATTCAGGCCCAGCCTATGTCTGTTACCGGATACAAGGTGTCTATCAACAGGCAATGCAAAGCAAGCGAGTGAGTGGAGGAGACTTCAGAGCATGGGTAGCTTTCAGAAACGATGGTTACATATTTTTAAACTGAACCAGGGTTCACACAAAGTTTGTCTTCTTTTTATGGCAGGCTACAGAGTAAATGAGTCTGGCTCAAGACCAACATTCTTTTCCTCTTTTCCTGCTGCCTTCAAACTTTCCCAGCATTATTGTCTTTTCCAGAGAATCTTGCCTTCTCATGATGGGCCCAAACATCTTTTTATGACAGGCTACAGAGTAAATGAGCCTGGCTCAAGACCAACATTCTTTTCCTGCTGCCTTCAAACTTTCCCATTCTTTTTATGGCAGGCTACAGAGTAAATGAGTCTGGCTCAAGACCAACATTCTTTTCCTCTTTTCCTGCTGCCTTCAAACTTTCCCAGCATTATTGTCTTTTCCAGAGAATCTTGCCTTCTCATGATGTGCCCAAAGGAGGACAGCCTGAGTTTCATCATTTTTGCCTCCAGAGATAGTTAAGGCTTGATTTGATCTAGGATCCACTTGTTTGTTTTTCCAACAGTCCAGGGTAGCTGCAAAGCCCTTCTCCAGCACCATATTTCGTTTTTTTCCTATCAGCTTTCTCTACTGTCCAGCTTTCACTTCTATATATGGTGATCAGGAATACAAGGGTGTGGATGATCTTCGTCTTGGTCTCCATCCTTACACTTTATTACCTTTTCTAATTCTTTCATTGCTGCCCTTCCAAGTCTCAGTCTTCTGATTTCTTGGCTGCAGTCTCCATTTGGATTGATGATTAAACGGGTATATGAAAACCTTAACAATTTCAGTTTCTTGGTTGCCTGCAATAAAGCTGCATAGTTCTTCTGTAGTTTTGATTTTTGTCTTAATGTCCAGGTGCAGTCCTGCTGTGTTACTTTCTTCTTTCACTAAAAGTCATTTCAGGTTATAGAATTTTTTTTTCTGCCATGTTTCTTCCTCCAATTTTCACTCCTCCTCTGTCTGAATCTGGTTTGGCTTTCCATGTGATCTGCATACAGATTGAACAGATTAGAGGATAAAATTCACCCTTGTCTGACACTTTGTTTATAGAAAACTATTCTGTCTCTTCATATTCTCCTAATGTTTACTTCTTGTCCACAATACAAGTTACACATCAGAACAATCAAGTGCTGAGGCACACTCATTTCATTTAGAACAACTCATAGTTTCTCATGATCTGCATAGTCAAAGACTTTGCTGTAATCTATTAAACAAAGACTGATCTTCTGAAATTATTTGATGAGATTCAGTAGACAGCAGTATTTGTTATCTGATCTGAACCCAGCTTGAGCATCAGGCATTTCTGACTCCATATAAGATAAAAGCATTTGTTGTAACACCTTAAGCATCAGTTTGCTTGAATGGAAAATTAGAACAATGGTCCTTTAGTTACTGTTCTCCTTGGCATCTCCTTTCTTAGTAATTGGAATGTACTGTACACTGAACATTTCCAATTTGTGGGCCATTTCTTTGTTTTCCAAATTTGTTGGCTTATACTTGTTAGGACTGATTCAATTTCTGTGCCTTGAAATAGTTCTACTGGTATGCCATCTATCTCTGGTGATTTATTTCTTCCCAATGCTTTCAGAGCAGCTTTCACTTCACTTCCTAGAATTGTAGGTTATTCATCATAGGATTCCTCCTCAAGGGAGTCTGTAATCCTTTTATCCCTTCTTTATAGGTCTTTAGTATATATATGTCCAACTTATCTTTATTTTCTCTTGGTCAGATAGTGTTGGTCATTCAGCATTCCTAATCTAGGCTGAACTTTCCCTTTGCTTTCTTGGATTTTCTGGGAAAGATCTCTCGTTTTTCCTCTTTTGTTGTTCTCTTCTAGGTCTTTGCACTGGTTAGTGTAATAATTCTCTTTATCTTTATATGAGAGTAGCTAAAAAAATTATTTAGGGTTCTAACTGTATTTATCTCACCTTTTACTTCTGCTTCTTGCCTGCCCTTTACAATTTTAAGTATTTTTTCCATCATCCTTTTAGGTTTTTTCTTATCTTTTTACTATAGGAATTGTCTTCTTGCTTTCTTACCTAATAATATCTTGAGTTCCAATCTGCAGTTCTTCTGATTCATGGTCAAGTGAATCAGAAGTAATGCAAATCTGTTTCTTATATAGACTTTAATTCATCAGGAATGTTGTTTAAATTATATTTGAGCACTAGGATTTTTTAGGGTTCTTTTTCAGTTTTACTCTAATGTTGGATGTTACCACAGTCTGTTTCCAGTCTTGATTTGGCAGGGAGGATACAGTTTCTACACCTCTTGTTGCCAATTAAGTAACTCTATGAATTATTCTCCTGCTTTGTTTCTGTCCCATAGACCAAATTTTCCAACAACATTTGGTTCTGCTTTTCTCCTACTTTAGTGTTCCAGTCCTCTATGATCATAAGCATATCTTGTTCTTGTGTGTGTGAGACCAGGGGCAAGAGTGCTACTCCTCTCGCAGGAGTGCCGTCCCTCCCCCCTCACTGTGGAGAAGGAGATCCAAATCATGCCCATCTCTCCCCCTAAGAAAACGGAGCAGCCAGCAACAGATTCGGGAAAAGTAGAAAAGGAAATTCAAAAGTTGGCGGTTAGAGGAACTGGGGGAAAAACGGTGGGAAGAGAGTGGAAGCCAAGGATGGAAGTAGAGGCGGGGGTAGCTGATATAAGGAGGAGAGAGGAACCTTTACCTCCAGGCTAGGAGTGGATCTGGGTGGAGGATCCCTGGACCGGTACATGGGAGAGATTAAGGGTCCTGAAGGAGGATGCAGACTACAGAAGACAGAGGGAAATACCACACCATCCCTCTTATTTGGGAGAGGCTGAAGTGAAAGAGTAGAGAAGGAAGTTGAGGGAGGAGAAAGAAAGCGTAGAAAGAGAAGAAAGAGAGCCGAGTGGAGGGTGAGAGAAATGAGGGAGAGGGAGTACCTGGAGGACCCTGGCAGACCTTCATGCCTACCCAGGACCCCTTGTGGACCAATGACCAAGATGAAGACACCGTCCCCTTGTTGGAGGGCAAGGCGGGACTGGCACTAAACCCAAACTTATCTTTGAACTGGCCGGGACCTTGGAACTTGGGTGATACGACCCCTTTCAAAGGTGAAGACTGGAAGCCCCTTGCCGACCTGTTGTTAGAAGGAGATAAATGTTGGACTAATTTTGCAGACACCGGTTTCTTGTTAAATACACCAATAAATGTTACACCTGTTTCAAAACCATATAAATCTGTTGATTTATTTATTTATTTATTTAATTTATTTATATCCCGCCTATCTGGTCGGTTAAGACCACTCTTCGGACGAAGAAAGGAGCTTGAAGTAGAACCCTCACAGTGTGCGATCAATTTCCTCCTGACTGCTTGCATAAAAGCTTTAAATTTCACCTTCTTCACCCTCTGTAGTTGAGCATACATTTGGAATGATGGTACAGTAATTTTGATAGGTTTTCTATACAGTCTGATTAATATTGTTTGGTCAGACCTTACATTATAGTACCTAACTGCCAGTGCTACATCTTGCCTCAGTATTAGAGCCACCCCATTACTTCTGAGTTTGCTGTTTCTAAAGTAAAATATTCTGTATTTGTCTGATGAAAAATATCCCAGTCCAATCCACTTCAGTTCACTGACACCAAGCACTGCAGTGTTTTTATATTCAGTTTCTTGCCTTACACTTTCCAGTATTGGTTCATACAGTACTTCTCACATTACATATTCCAATTGTATGTGTTGGGAAGCACATCAGCAACTAGACATCCTTTCAGCTTTAATCTGTTTGCCTCATTAGCAACAGCACTATTCGTATTTATCCTTTGCTCTTCCCAGTAGCTTATGGAGTGATTTCAGACTTGGGAGTCTCATCTTCTAGCACTATATCTTATTTCATTTTGGATGGTCTCATCATACGATTTTTCAAAATAAGAAAGACTGAGTTTATCATTGCTACCTTCTACACAATGCTAACAAAAGTTGGCTTGACTGTCACCACTGTTGCCTTCTCTGCCAGTCTCACCTGTTCAATAGCTGCCATCACCATTTTCTTCTACTGATGTGGCTGTTACCCTTAAAGAGGGTGGATGCATTTTTGTCTGGTGTCTCAGCTGTGACTATTCCACCTGGGTGATCCTGCTAGAAGTCTAGAGTCATAATGGAGTGTGGCCTCCTGACGACATTGCTTTCACTTCACTAACATATTCAGACCCCTTTACCATGTTAAAACGTGCCCCCAAGAAGAGGTGAGGTGAACTAGCAAATGGTATCTCTCATGCTAGTCAAGGAGCAGAGTACCCGGAGCTAGTCAAATTATTTTGTTCACCAAGGAAGAAAATTCCATAAGCGTCCTTTCCCTGAACTGTCAGTAAAAACACCAAAAAAAAATTATTTGTTTCCTTTTCATTATTTCTCAGATCTGGTGCCTGTGATGGTTCCTTAGGAGTTCTGCAGCCTTGAAAATAAGGTTGCTCTTTTTTTTTACCTTATCTTCTCAGATTGTTTCCTCATAATCTAGGAGAAAGGGATGATCTTTTAGTTTTTGAAAGCATTTTTCTTTAATGAAACCGGGCCTACTTACATGCAATGATGTAGTGTCAACTTTGAAAGTGCATGTGCTCAGCATGAAAATCACTAGAGCCTGCTCTGTTCCAGAACTGCAGGTAACTAATTGGTCTATCAACAAATTAGAAGCTTCTTAGGCATCCCTCAGTCTCAAAAGACCATGGTAATGGGCTCTGTATGAGTGTCCTCTCCAGCACACGAAGCCTGGGTAGGATAATATGGAGGATAGGCTGTTACCCAAGCAGCAAACCCCCCCCTCCATGTCGCTGAAATGGAAAAGCAAGAGCCAATACAACTGGTTCCAGCAACGTCACAGGAGTTGCCAAAGCGACATGAACTGCCTCCGGGACTCCGGCTCCGGATTTTGCCTCAAGATTTACTCCTGAAGCCTTTTCCATCAGTGGATATAGCCACAAGGCAGGGCAGGTTTGAAATCAGAGTTTTCCTTCTCCTAGATGGGCTGCCTTCCCTGGCTGACGAGCCCCACCTTTCCGGTTTGTCATTCAGTGTCTTAATTTATTGTTAAGATATTTCAGTCAAAGTTTTCTTGGCCATAGTCTTGATCCTTCGAGTCCCAAAATCAAGGTCAGTTAGCAGAGTCAATAACCATGCAATATATATCTGGGACATGAATATAAGATGACAGTTTCAGTTTGGTAAGATCCAGTAAGAAATCAGACCAGTCTCAAAATAAATTGCTTTAGAAGCAGGTCTTAAATCAAGGTCAGTTAGCAGAGTCAATAATAATGCAATATATATCTGGTCTCCTTGTGTTCAAAGTGGCTTACATTGCAATGAAGCTCAGAGGAAACAGGGAAAATCAAGGTCAGTTAGCAGAGTCAATAACCATGCAATATATATCTGGGACATGAATATAAGATGACAGTTTCAGTTTGGTAAGATCCAGTAAGAAATCAGACCAGTCTCAAAATAAATTGCTTTAGAAGCAGGTCTTTTGTAAAGGACCATTTTTGCCCACTCTAGACCAAACCACTCTCAGATACTTGATATTACAGCAGAGATGGCTTGCAACAGTATATTGTTCCTGGGGAAATCTATGCACACTCCAGCCACCCTAAACATTGCAATGAAGCTCAGAGGAAACAGGGAAACCTAAAGAGAGTGGCAGAGGATGTTGTCATCCTTGCTAGTCAGAAAGCGCAACACCTTGGACCTTGCGAGTCCTAGCTTCACGATGCCACTGCATGTGTGGCGCTAGCTCATCTGCTCTCCCCACTATGTTTTACATTTGTGTCTACACAACTGTGCCTTTTTGGTCTCCCAGGCCTGGCCAGCATTCTGGCAACATTTGCAGCTGGGGACTGATTGAGGAGTCTGGTGCAAGACAGATGATAACAGTGCTGTTAATTGGGGGTCAAGACCACTTATCTGGATCACCGTCTTCCAGTATATTGGCTTCCTGTATGCAGTAGGTTTAGCCACTGTCTCTGCCTAAAATGGAGATGCACATCTAGTTGTATCCAGACGTAGGACGGGAGCAGGTGGAGATGGAGCCAAATTCATGCACAAGCTAAGGAAGCTGTAGCTTCTACGAGGGCCCTCTTAATGCATTATCTATTCAATTTCAAATTTTACATAACTGTTGGAATAATACACATTTATTTGCCATAGTTTGACATTAAACTTGGCATAGCTTACATCCTCATTATATTCTCATCTGGTGCCGGCATGGTACAGACAATACAGGCAAGGTCCACTACATGATTATGGTGCACTTAATACAAACATGCAAACCTATGTTACTATAGATGCATAACTCTGGGAGGAACCAGTACAGCTGTATAAAAGTCCAGCATTTTAAAAATGATTTCTATTGTCACTATTATGATACATTCCCTGCATATGAGGGTGGTACTGTATATACAAGGAAAGGTTAAAGGGCAGTTGAAGAAACCAGAGAGATGTTGCCACATATAGTATTTGGGGTAGTTACAGAATTGGTACACATTCTACATTTGTTGAGACATCACCTGTGGCAAGAAAGCTGTAAAGTTTAATGTGCCACAGGAAATAGAAACTTTCTGCTTCTCCATTCAGGGACAAATTGCAATTTCCTTCTTAAAACAGGAAACTCCACATGAACTCTTCTCCTTTTTGTTTCTCCTATCTTGTAAATAATTTCTGTTGAGGAGTTGTTTTTTCCCATCCCTGCCCACAAAAGATGCAAGATGTTCCACAGTAAAATGAACATGAAAATTCTCGTCCTTCTGTCTGGTATGTCTTCTCTTGTTTTGCCCTGTCACATATGAAAGAGCGTTCTAGGTGGTTCTCTAAATAGAAGAGAGACGTTGGGAGAGGGGGAGAGAGCTTCACTATGGGCTTTTATATATTGCTTAGTGGTCAAACAATGGTTGCTGCTGAGGTTATTTTTACATTTAGGTTTTGGAAGTAATATGTTAACTTTGGAGCAGGCAAAGTAAGTAAAATGCTTTAGACTTTCTAGGCTGTAGGGTGAGTTCTAACTAAACTAATAGAGTTTCTGAATTCTATTCAAATAGAAATGAGGCCACCATAATTTAGACCTAGAGACAAGTATCCTGTTGCTAATCTCAAGCAGGGATTAAACCCATTGAATCATATTTATGTTTATGTACATCTTATGCCTCATGTTTGAATAAATCCTATGCAGTGAGTGGGTTTACTAATGTTCGGATACAGGCCAGAGTTTGTAACAATTGTGATCTAAATAATAAATTAATATCAGATAAGGATTAAGGTAATAAAACATTTACTCCAGATAGAACTTTGTGTTGTGTACAAAGTAAAGAACTCAAGTTCATGCTGTTATTTCATTAAAACTAATAAGAGCATAATGATGAATAACTAAATAAGTTTTCTGCCCCTCCCCAGCACTAGAAAATAACGGTGATAGGACCAGACTCTGTTTTGATGAGAGGATACCTGCAAAAGAATTATTAGATATTTCAATTGTTTAAAGCTGTTTTGAGTTAACAAGGTGCAGAATATTAACACTTGGTTAATATAAAGTTTGAATTGGCACGAAAGGGGGGAAATTAACATATGAAATCCTGAAGAAATACTTTATCGAAAGAGCTGATCCTTAAATAATAAACTTGCTGGCCAAGTTTTTAGTCAGGGAGATTTCTAATGTTTTGTGGCATTTTGAGAGGAATTCATTTACGAGAATATCTTGTTATATCACTTGATCTGATAAATCCAAATTGTTTGTAGCTAAGGAGTATACTTCATACACCTAAAACCAAAGATGGCAGACAAAATGGTTGACACCAATCCTGAGCAGCATGCTCCTGGAGCCACAGTGTTCATTCAGTTATGATAAAATTGTGAAAACAAGCTGATATAAAGTGTAATATTTGCGTCAGTTTAAACATTACAAAATGGTGGTCAGTTGAAATGTATTTTTGGTTTTCCATAGTGTAAAAAGTTAATCACAGTTGTAGCATATAGTGGAAAAGTAGTAATTAGAAGTAGAAGCAGTCAATCTGAACATGCTTTTGGGATGAACAGATGAACAAACCACTAAGGTTAAATATCTGACAACCCAAAATTTCTTTTCTTTGAAAATTATGGTGGATCAAATATTTTCGGTCCAGAGTTGAATATCTAGATAAATATCTAATCTTGCTATAGAAAGGCTATCTATCTTGGTAGGCATGTTAGTCTGTTGTATCAAAAAAGAAACCAGGCGTCTTATAGCATCTTAAAGAATAGCTTGTTTTAATTTTCCCTCAGTTTTCGTGAGTACAGGAAGGGTGCTTGGACTTGTGAAAGCTTATGGGAACTAAAAACAGTTCTATAAGACATCTGGCTTCTCTTTTGCTATAGAAAGGATTAGGAAAGCCTTTCTTTTTTCCAGAATATGCGTTCTTTTAAATTATTTTGATAGAAGAACAATGCTATTAGACCTCTGGCTTCTCTTTTGGTATAGAAAGGATTAGGAAAACCTTTCTTTTTTTCCAGAATATACGTTCTTTTAAATTATTTTGATAGAAGAACCTAACGAATGCCTATTCTGAACGTCCATTTCTTGACTCCTCGTTCCTTTTGATCTTTTAGGTTCTTTGATGGCTTCAAGTCTATTTCCTGCTCCACTTATTTTGCTAGGCACTGTTTCGGATTGCCCCATTGAAGGAGAATCTGTCGATATAGCTTGTTATGCACCCGGGGCTTTTATGGATGCTTGGTTCTCTCTGTTCAAGGATGACCAGACTCGGGCAGTGCAGACTCTGCCTGCTGCAGAGACCCACCACCATGTTATTTTCATTCTGAAGAACATCACTACCAGAGATAAAGGACAGTACAGGTGCCAATATGGTCTGTTCAATAGAAGTGAATTCAAGTTGTCTCAGTTTAGCCAAATCCTACAGATTCCTGTGGGGGGTAAGTCATTTCTCAAGCTGGAAGAGCTTATTATTCAAGTGAATAGTCAAGGACTTCACATGATGTTGAGAAACCATGATTCATAATATATGGCCTATAAATGTCCTTTCTCATAGAATACTGGTATGGCTGAGCTTTTGTAACACAAAATGTATAAAGAAAGCAGACAGCCAGTCCATCCTGCAATGAACTGCAGGAGTCTCATGAACAGGGGGCTGGGTATTCCAAATCTGAAAAATTATTATTCCGCTTACCAAATAAGGCAACTAATCTGAATTATTAATAATAGTCAGATAGGTACCTGGTTGTCCATTAAACTCGAGAGACTGAGCTAGAAAAAAAGGGCATCCTTTTATCTCAGTCCATTGTTCTTTAATTCTGATAAGTTAACCCAATTTAAAAACTGGAAGGGCTGTATCACTTGAATGACCTGTAATTGTAGAAAAAGAAACAGCCCAGTCATCTTTTTGTTTCAGAGTGTGCCTTCACCACTTCTTCACCAAAAGATCTCCCAAGGTCAAAAGGTAAGCAGTTCAGATGTCCAACTCAAAGAGGTTTGAAGACATAAGCTTATTAGGAAACACATTAATGGGCAGGCAAGGCCACTGTAGGAAGGGTAGAGTAAAGAAACATGAAAATTCAAATGGCTAATCTGAAAACAAATGCTTTGGAGCCTTTTATTGGGAGACTGAGCTAGAAATGAATGAATGAATGAATGAATGCTTTATTGGGAGACTGAGCTAGAAAATAATAATAATAAAAGCCATCCTTTTGCTCTCAGTCCATTGTTCTTTAAATCTGATAAGTTCACCCAATTTAAAAACTGGAAGGACTGTATCATTCAAATGACCTGTTTGTTGGTCAGTGTCATAAGACAGCAGCTCATTTTAGGGAAGAAGTAAGAGAGGGCTGACAAAATCCATAGAAACAAAACAAAACAAAACAAAACCATGTGGCACCTTAAAGACTAACTATTACATTTTAATGTGAGTTTTCGTGGATATATCCACTTCATCAGACATATGGGTTTTTTTGGGGTTTTTGTTTTATTTCTTTGGACTTCGCCTAATATGCTTGCACAGACTAACACAGCTGGTTTTTGGGTTTGTTTTGTTTTGTTTTATTTCTTTGGACTTTGCCTGATATGCTTGCACAGACTAACACAGCTACCTCTTCTAAGAGAGGGCAGGTTTCAGATGTCAGAGTTTACATCTCACTCTGTAGTGAAAACTCAGGCCACTTGCCCTTTGTCTTCAAATCATTGGTCTTTTTCTCATTGGACTTTTTCTCTGTAGATGACTCTCAAACTAGAATTTATAGCATTCTGATTGATGTCCCTCGTGGAAGTACGAAGGGAGCCAAATTAGGCTGTGGTCACGCTAGTAAATTTGACTCGGTTTCTCTTCAGACTTTTTAAAAATCAGATCATAAGGTGTATAAACTGGTGGCTGTGATCACATGCACTGAATGGAAATGGATTCATTTCTGATTATTTAAACCGTTTTTAACTACACTGCTGAAACCAACTAATTTCCTTTCTGTTTTAGGAGCATGCTGTTCTTAAAAGGTTTTTGTTTTGTTTTATTTTTTAAAAGTAAGTCATACATCAATAAATCGAGTGTCTAGGAGGTTTAAAAGTGACACATCAATAAATCGAGTGTCTAGGAGGTGCCACCTGGTGTCATAATAGTCACTAGAAACCAGAGGGAAAACATCAGAGAGGTGAACGCGGCCAATTAATTATGGAAAAAAATTGAATGGGGAAAAGGCTTCCAGATCCTTTGCAGGATGCTGCTGCTGCTGGTGGTGCATGGCCCGTCCTCCATGAAGAGGCATGACCACTCTGCAACCACTGGTCTTGTGCTGGCCCATTGGCTCCTTTATTGGCTGAATGGAGGGAAGGGGGTAGGTGGTTGTAATGCCAAGTGTATTGATAAAATGATGCAACAATAAACATTCTAAGAAATAACGTTAAACAGTTGTAAAGAAAAAAATTGTGCCCCTGCCACCTAAAATCCGTAGACATAAATTAAAACAACAGCAGTGTTCAACATCCATGAAACCACATGGAATTGATTCCATTTTAGAACCCAGTTATTTTAAAAAGTCCCTGCTGGCCAGTTGGAAAAAAAAACTTCACTTTGCAGCCCATATAAATCAATTGCCAGTTATTTTAAAAAGTACCTGCTGGCCAGTTGGAAAAAAAACCCCTCACTTTGCAGCCCATATAAATCAATTTCAGTCTTGCATTGTGTGAACAATCAAATCTTAATTGGTTCAAATGACACTTAAATGTGGTTCATATACTGCCAGTGTGACCACAGATTTAGTGTGGGAAAAGGAACTTGGAATTTCTGTTGATGACTGTGTAATGATCAACCATGGAAGTAAGATTATTGATTTCACTAAAGTAAGATTAATGATTTAACAAAAGAATATAGCAGATGTGAAAATTAATTTTAAATTAAAATTAAATAAAATTTATGTGGGACAACTAGGATAAAATACATGAAGCACTGACTGCAAAGTAACCACATAAAATAGCTAGTTGTCTGTATCATCTAGAGATATGAAGCACTTATCCAGAGAGACCACATATAGAGATGTAGCAGTCTTGGGATTCTATACTCAGATGTGTTTTAGAGAGAAAGTGTTTATTCAGTTCTGAGAGATCATTCTGGCTTTTGCAGTAGTGGAGGGATTAGTTTTCGAAAGTCCATATTGTATTTCATATTTGTATACTTGTAGAAAAAGAAACATCCCAATCATCTTTTTGTTTCAGAGCCTACCTTCACCACTTCTTTGCCAACAGATCTCCCAAGGTCAAAAGGTAAGCAGTTTAGATGTCCAACTCAAAGAATCATGGAAAGTGATTGAGAAGCACATCAGTGGGCAGGCAGGACCGCTGTAGGAAGGGAGGAGTAAAGAAGCATGAAAACTCAAATGGCTAATCTGAAAACAAACACTTTGGAGTCCTTTATTGGATCTGCCCAAGACTTGGGGTGGGAGGGAGAGAAAGGTGGAGGAAAGAAACATCGAACTTGCACTAACTGAACTCCTGCCTCCATTTCCAGATTCCATTTCTTGGGTGGTCCCCACTGCCGTGAGTGTGGCTGGAGTCCTGCTTCTGGTTTTGACCCTAGTGGTGGCCATGGTAGCAACTGGACGCTGTACGTGGAATGCAGAAGCTGGGTTTCTCTGATCTTTCTACTTAAGAGTGCAGGCCAGCACAGTTGAGGTCTAGAATGTGCCTATTTCAGTGATACAAAGAAGATAATATTTTTGAACCAATCACTTTTCTTTATATTTATTAGTACGTAAACAGCAGTACCAAAATTCATAAAGCTATACCGAGTTCTTTGAGTTAAAAAACAATAGTGTATTCCCTATAGTTGCCAAATTTATACTGGTCTCTACTGTTCTTTTCATCCTACTACACTCTTTCGGCAGAAGCAGAGCGTGTCTTAGAAGATGTGTCTGTAAACTGTAGTCACTGGGAAACAGAGACAGCCTCAGAGGAGAATCGACAGACCCAACAAGTCTCCTTCAGTAGTGAGACTTTTTCAAGATGCACAGCTAATTGCTGGACAGGGCTTTAAATGTTCTCTTTTAGATGGGATTCCAGGAGTTGTAGTCTAGATTAGAGAAGATAAACTTTTCTAAGTGCTGCCTCTGGAGCATCATATTTATCTGCTCCTTGTTTGCTAACCCATCAAAATTACAATTCTTAGCTGGAAAGGCCAGACTCTGGGTCTCCATTTGTGTGGTAAAGCTATATAAGGATTTCTCTTTCTTTAACAGTAAAAGAGAGAAGACAGAAGAAAAGGTGAGGACACTTCACTCTTGTAACATTTCTACAAACCTCAGTCGAAATGAAGCTTTTCAGAGTGTCCCACAAGGGTGGAGAAACATCTGCCCAGCTGGAGTGCAGAATGATTGTGAGAGGAGACAGTAATTTTGTCCTTGTGCCTGCTACTTCTGAAAGACTGGCTTTGAAGAAAATTTTGCACAGCTAGGATTAGCTATGAGAGAAGTCCTAACCATTAGTCTCTCTGGTGGCAAGTATAAGAGAAGTTGCAAAATTCATATTCCTATACAGCTCTGTTGGAAATCAGGTCTTGTCCTACAGTGTGAAAAGACTACCCCCTATCTTTGGAACAGACGTGTATTCTGGTGTTGCATAATATTCTTAGTTATTAGTTTGACGTTTTCGTTTGCTTAGGGAGATGGATTCCTGCTGGACAGAAACAAGCTACCCTACAACAGGTGTGTAAAACATAAGTGTAAGTACCTGTTAGCACTGATGACAAATTGTGCTCTTATTTTATTTTGTTGGATGTAAGTATAAAGGTTTACAGTTACAGTTCCCCCAATATGAAAAACGGTTCTATAATGTATGAGTGAAATGCCAGTCTAAGACTTCTCCCATCTCCTTTTCCAGTAAGTATTCAGATCTATAGGGCCAATCTGCCGAAGAACTTGAGATTCAATTTCAGAACTGTGTATGCCAGGTCCAAGAATCATACACACAGTATGAAAACCATAAAGTGCTATTTCATTGTTTATCAAGGTGCCATGTTAAATGCTACAATGCTTGTGTGACTCCGATGTTAGTGGTTCAGTAATTTTATGCACACTGTTTTTTTTCCTCAGAGATATCCTTTGATAACTGCATGTTCACTGTTTCAATGGTAAGTTATGCAAAAAAATCCAGGACTAAAAATCTTTTTGCTTTCAGCAGTGACCTTGGAGGGCAGGCAATGAATAATCAAAGACAGTGCAAATGATGCCCCATGCAATGCAAGTAATGAACATTTCCTTGTGATTTGGCTCTGTATGGAACTCAGAGCAGAAGCAGTCATTACTGACAATCTCTTATTAGAAGAGGGAATCATTAAACTGCTCAAAGTGTCCGAGTGCACAGCAGGAACCTTACTCTGTTTGTATAACTTGCAAACTAGCTTGCTTTGTTTTGTGATTGGTCTTTAGAATTTACCCACAAGATTCCTTTGAAGTCTGACTTCTCAGACACGAAAGCCTGCTGGAATCATGTTTCTCCAACACTAACCTGCTATCGGCTCTAACAATGAGCTATCTATAGTGTCTGTTTATGCCCTTATTGCCCTCCCCCCACCAGTTGTTTTGTCTCCTTCATTTCTGCCCATTTTGACCATTTTATCTCACAAGAAACCAGACAAAGAAGCTGTAGAGAACCAAAGCACCTGGATCTCCTTAGCCATGGCTGCAAGGCTTTCATCTAGCAGTTCCGTGGAAAAGCCAGCCTTCTGTACCTTCAGAATTCCAGAATGACATCCTGGTACCTCTACATCAACACCCGACACATCATTCCTACCGCACCAAGGGAAGCAAGGCTCATTGGATGTTCCTGCCAGATGCTCTTTCTTCATGGCGTTATCATCTCTCATCTATTTATGTATTGCCTGTTATCACCACCAATTATATATACTGAACTTGAGTCATACATGCTGAATGTGGGTCACTTTGTTTCATACTTCTGAGACGTCTCCCAGGAATCTTGGTTGGGATAAGTAAGAAACCACAAGAATGAAGATGGATTCAAGAATTACCGTACTCCGTTCTGGAACTATAAAGATAGGAAGGAAGGAGGAGTGCAATCCTCATAAGTGACACTATTGTCTACATTTCAAAGTATACTAAAAGTACTCTTTTTTTGCCTTTATGCCCTGAAAGCAAGCAACTATTTTAATTACATAATGTTTAACACTTTTCTTTAAAGGCCATCAACCCAATTGTCTACACTACGTTACCAAGTAACGGGAAATTCAGACTAGGTTTGCTGGACTGAAAGCTGAAAAGAATTTGGTAGCAGTCTGAAGATGAACAAATACCTCTCTTAAAGTGCCAAAAGGCTATCAGATACAAGCTGTTCCTCAGTTGACAGACACACATGTACAATGAAAAAAAAACAGATAAACACTGGGGCTAAAAACAACAAAATACCAAACTGCCACGGGAAAACACTGTGAATACATAAAACTGCTGTGCTGCAATTCATGAGCAAATCCAGATTCCAGTCCCGTTAAAGCAGACTGAGAGCATGTTCAGACAGGTGCGTTGGTGGGGTGGATTGATCTGCTCTGTTTTCTGGCATACACAAGTGGAGTAAATTTGCTCCAAATTGCCCCCAGGGCACCCCAGCCTGCCCCTTTTTGAGTCCCTATCAGGGTCTTCTACTTCTTCGATTCAGGTTGGTGTGCTCTAGAACTCAACTACACCACCAAATTCATTGGGATTTGCTCCACTTATAAAGCAGTTGAACCTGAAGTAATGTTTGCTGCCTGCGTGATGCAAATGCTGGTTCGAATCCATCTGGTGCTTTTTGCTTGCAAAGCAGCATCTCTCTCTCTCTCTCTCAATCTCTCTAGCTTGCAAAGCGGCATTTTCTCTCTCTCTCTCTCTCTTTCTCTCTCTCCTGCCTGGGGACTTCTATTTTGTTTCTTGCTAGAGGGATTCAAAGGGACTTGTTTCTTTCTGGATATGTGTAAAGATGGGAGATAGTGTGTCTGTAGAGGAGGAGTGGGGAAAGAGAAAGACCAGCCGTGAAGGAAGAGAGGGAGGCAATGAAAGAGAGTGGGGAGTGTGGTGCATATGCCTAAGGGGAAAGTAGGGGAGGGGGAAAGAGAGCAAAAAGGAGTCTCTCCTTCGCCACCTTTATCGCACTGTGGGAAGGCATCTGGCTCACCTCTTGCTTGCCTGCATGTGTGTGGATAGTTTCTGTCTGAGGAAGTGCATGTGAAAAGAAAAAAGGGGGGGTTCATTAAGTGCAGGAGTGGATTGGCAGGGGGCAGAAAGAGGGGTAGTAGAAAGAGAGGCGTGAAACAGTGGTATAAAAATGGAGGGACCAACTGAGGTTGGGGAGGAGAGGCAGAAAAAAGAAAAGTAGAGGGCAGTTTGCCCCAAGCATAGAACAACAGACAGACTCTTGAAGGGATGTGTGTTGGGAAAGTGTTTGGAGTTTGTTGTTCGCTGAATTGTTCATGTGTGAAAGATGAACTCCCAATTCAACCAGAATGCCCAGGATGAGCATTGATTTATGATTTCAGACATAAAGGCTGCCAGATTGAAAGAGAGGCTTTGCCAAAGCTGCCAGCACTCCTGATTTCAGTCTTTGGTGTCACAGAGTACATAATAAAGAAGCTGCTTCAGGACGTTAGCAAACTGAAACACTTAAGAAAACAAAGAAATACATTTTGTTTTTCTGGAAAATCCAAAGAAGAAAAGTGAAAACACAAAAATAAAAAGACAAAAAACCATGTGGCACCATAAAGACTAATTATTCTATTAAAACCTGAGCTTTCATGGATCGAGTCTACTTCATCAGACATATGAAATAAAATGAAATATGGAATCCACAAGTAAAACATTCAAAACGTATATTGGCTTTAAGAGTATGGAGTGTGTGGTTACATCTCACTTGCATTAATTTATGACCTATATTTGGTGGTGTAAACATTCCCACAGGCGACAGAAAACACATAACAAGGCAAGAGGGAGAGAGGGGGGGAAATGGGGGAAAGGGGGTGGTGAAGACCAACCATGAGCAGTAACAGGAATAGAGGATATGAGGCAAAGCTCAAAGAATTAAAAAAGTGGGGGGAGAGAACACACAGACACACAGACACAGACACAGACACAGACACAGACACACACACACACACACACACACACACAACAGCATACATTTGGTAATGACCTAAGTAAACCTAAGCTTATGTTTGATCCATTTAAATGGCTACCCATCATGAGTATAAATTTTGTCTCAGTTTTCCCCCACTGTATTCTTGTTCTGTAGTGCTTCTTTCCCAGAATAACACCTTTCATATATTCTGAAGTGTGTTTTGGTAGATTGAAATGGTTGGAGACAGGTTTCTGTGTACTGTAGTTTATGACGTCTGATTTGTGGAACAAGCGAAGGCGCCCTTGATGTTGTGCGTGACATTGTTAGGTTCTGTAATTATGTTACCAGAATAGATGCTGGGGCAGAGTCGGCATCTGGTTCTGTGACATGGTTTAGTTCCCATGTCTGTGTTATAGTTGTGTGGTCCATTGTGTGTTAGTAGTTGTATTGTTTTTCTTTTTTCCTTCTCTTTTTTTGGTGGGGACTTGGCTGTTGCATGCAAAAGAGATGTGGAAAAGGTGGATGAAACTGGAAGGCAAAGGGTGGACAGAAAGTTGTGTGTGGTGCAGTGTTAAAAATGTCTTTTATTTTAACACTGACTTAGAGATCTTTTGGAGAGGTCTCTTATTTGGATTCACATACTCCCTTTCTTTTTAAACTTGCTTTGCACCCGCCTAACAATCCCCAACTCATTCTTGTCTTCTTCTTCTTCTCCTTTTCCTCCTCCTTTCCCTCCCTCCTCCTCCCCCCTCTGTCTGTCTGTCTGTCTGTCTGTCTGTCTGTCTGTCTGTCTGTCTGTCTGTCTGTCTGTCTGTATGTATGTATGTATGTATGTATGTATGTATGTATGTATGTATGTATATGTACAATACAAGGTGCAAAAAGGGAGGGTCCCTTTCCACTGGCAAGACTGGGAAGCATGTAAGATTGCAAACCCCTCTTCTCTGCATGTCCCCTTCCTTGGAGTGCTTGCTCTTGTGCAGCAAAAACCAAGCCTTTGGTTTCTTTCTTTAGGGTCCCCAGTTTTAGCCATGGCCATGTTGACTTATTATCATGCTTTCCATCAATATTTCTCAGGTGTTGCCCATGTAGTGGTTTATTTTTCCAGCTGTTTCATTTATTTTCAAATTGTTATTTCTTATATTGAGCCTTTGTTGTTTTCAAAATATTCTCCATGTTCACTGCTTGAAGTAATTTTTCTCTGCTTGTACTGATATAATTTAGGCTTCTTATTTTCCTCTTCTACTACCTCCTGTATTTGCAGTAATCCACAGCCTTTGATTTTTCAGGGTAAATATCACTTTTTGGTGATATCTATCCACATCACTTTTGGATGTAGTGTATGATGCATGTTCATTAGTTTCTGTATTTTTCGATCCAACATCTTCTAATTCATTTTGAGTCCAATCTCTTGTTCCAGCTTGGTCTCTAATTACTGGAACAGTCCATGTGTTTATGGCTTTGATTGTATTTCCACCATTTAATTTTGATTTTAAGATTTTTTGCAGCATTTTGATATATTCCCTTTCTGTCAGTTCTTTAACTTTTGTGCTATCTGCTTCTTGTATACCAAAGTATTTATAATTTTCATCACTTCAGAGTGATTTTATAATATTGCCATTTTTAACTCTATTCCAACTAGTTTTTGGATCTTGCCATGGTATATAGGCAGAATTACATATTTGTCAATTTTGGATAGCATCACTAAATATTTGCACTGTGTTTAGCAGTAATTCTATCTCCATGGAACTTTTTGCATATAGTTTTATGCCATCCGTTTATGAGAGGTGATAATTTTTTCTGCTTGTTCTGAAATATTGTAGCCCAATCCAGTTTTATTTGGAGATTAGTGAAAAGTTAAACAGCAGTGATGACAAAGAATCTCCCTGAGAGTTTTATTTGAAATTATTGACATGGAGATTAGTGAAATGTTGAACAGCAGTGATGACAAAGAATCTCCCTGAAATATTCCTGATGCTACCTTCCCCAATTTCTTCACCATGGGCCATTAAGACAGTTTTGCATATTTCCATGTTTTCCTGGAGGAACTTCTGAATGTTTTTACTAATCCCAAGCACTTTTAGACAGGTGTTAATCCAGCTGTGTGGCGATGAGTCAAATGCCTTTTAATAGTCTATCCAGGCCATGTGAAGGTTTGTTTTCCGTCTTTCTGCATTCGTCAGTATCATTTTATCAAGAAGCAGCTGATCTTTTGTGCCTCTTGGCTTTTTAAAGTTCCCTTTCTCTTCAGTTGGGTATAGGGAGTTGTTGTCTTCACCATCATCATCATCATCATCCTTGGAGAAGGTTCCACACACAGGGATTTGTAACACTGGCTTTCTCATGAGCAGGTTTACCCATTTTACTTCTGAGCAAGGTTTACCTAGTTTACTCACAAATAAGATCGCAACAGCAGTGGAGGACATGATGGCACAAGGGAAAATATTGGGGTGAAGGTTCGAAAGATGGAGGAGAAAAAAACCTTCTTTTCCCACATTCCTCTACCACTGAATAATTCTGTAAGGGAATTTTTTGATTGAATTTGTAGCTAGCATATATATATTTAAACTCTCATTTTAAAAAGCCAGGAAATTTAATTCTTGGGGTGGAAAAACCTCTGATTTATGAATGTGGGATACTGTGCTTCTGAACCCACAATTCAAAAAGTCACAATATTGTGCCCACATTGCCAGCAGGAAAAAGGAGCACAAGACATGGCAGCCTTAGTCAAGAAAAACTGAGGCAGGTCAGGCCACAGAAGCTAACAAACTCATCCTCACAGAATACTTCTCAATAAAATACAGAATGTTGTTGTTTAGTCATTAAGTCGTGCCTGACTCTTCGTGACCCCATTGACCAGAGCACGACAAGCCCTTCTGCCTTCCACGGCCTCCCGGAGTTTGGTCAAATTCATGTTGGTTCCTTCGATGACACTGTCCAACCATCTCGTTCTCTGTTGTCCCCTTCTCCTCTTGCCTTCACACTTTCCCAACATTAGGGTCTTTTCCAGGGACTCTTCTTTTCTCGTGAGATGGCCAAAGTATTGGAGCCTCAGCTTCAGGATCTGTCCTTCCAGTGAGCACTCAGGGATGATTTCCTTCAGAACGGATAGGTTTGTTCTCTTTGCAGTCCAGGGGGCTCTCAAGAAAACACAGAATAGTGTTGAATTAAATATTGCTACAACTTCATTTTCCCATTACTAGTAGTATCATCTAAAGCCTCTTCCACAAATGAGACTGAAATATGCAGCTACCAATTTATTTTTCAGTTTCTCCATCAAAGCAAGCTGCTTTATCAAGCACACTGTTGTTGTGGTCCAGTTAAGATATCTACTAGCCTCTGCTAGTACATGCACATAAACCAGGTCCTGTCCTTATCCGACAGTAGCATACACAAAAGCTTTTTCCCTCATGCATCCAAAACTCA